AAAGAAAGATTACGTTTTCACTCAATTTCTGTTTTTATAATTTACTTAGTAAAACTTAAACGACTGCGAAGCAGACTTAAAAATTGTTCAGAAATAGAAGCCGTGCTAAAACAGGTTGTTAATTTCTAGTTAAATTTACTATGAATGTTTAAGCACTGTTTAAGTACTGTGTTTAAGCACTGTTTATTTATGTAAGAATTTATAATCCATAAATTTCATGTACTTCGATTTTCTATTGGAATCTCTAACTTAAATTTTTACATTCGAATAATTTCTTTGAAGCAACTTCCAGGTTCTGTATAGTAATTTGCATAAAAATTTCAGCAACCAATGCAGCACTCCGAGGATCTAGAATTCCTAGGCGTGATCTACGACGCAGCAGATTTCGGAGAAAGGCTCTCCCATTGCCTAAACCGTCTGTCGAAGCTGAAAAGGCAGGAATCGCCGTTCGACATCAAGCATATCTTGTTAAACATCGCCAAAAATCCTCCAGAAATTGCAGTGGAAGTCTTGGAATCCAGTTTGCAATACGCATCGACCGGAGACATTCCGAAAAATCGAGCGCGCAGCAACTGGCACGCTTACTTCTGTCGATCGATGATAAAACATGAAGGAGCAGCAGCTGCCTTTCGTAACTGCGTTCAAGATCTGCAGAATCTCGAAAGGTGTGTCCAGTCCCCGGAAACACGATCCGTAAATCGCGGCAGGAAAAACGAGGAAAATCAATGGCTCAAAGCGATCGAACAGCTGAGCGATTGCGAGGTGCGCACAGACGAGGATGGCATACAGAAGGTGATTTGTAAATCAGGAAGCAAAATGCCGAAGACGGTGCAACAGAAGATGAAGTACACCTTCGAGAAAATTCTGGATAGGAAGATTTCGAAACGATCTACTTTCCATCGAGCTGTCCGCGATTTAAGCGACACGCTGTCGAAAAAACCGTGGGGTCGGAAGCTTTCCGACCAGTGTTATCAATTCTCTATGATCTATGACAATGGACTGCAGAAATTGAAGAGGTCTTCCGTGCTCGCTGCCAGAGATAGCAGAGCTGCGGCAAAGTTAGTTGCATCATAAGTATTTTAGTAAAAATGATATTAATTTGATTTCAAAATGAGATTTGATTTTAATTTAATTTTAGAATTATATTAATTGATTTTAGTTAAAATGATATATTAAAATGATATATTACATAATTTAAATATGAATTCGTATAAAAATACTATAAAAGTATAGAATTTATAAGCAAATTCATTTATAGATTTATAATGAATTTCAAATTTTTATATATATACAAAAATATATATACAAATTTATACATAAATATGATATTTACAAAGTTATATGAACAGATTATGGTTAAATAAATTTGTAATAAAATTTAAATGTGAATTTATATAAAAGTTAGAAATAATTTTATGTAAGAATTAAATTTATTAATGAGAATATTGCAATGAATTCAACATTATACAAATTTATATATAAATATTTAATATTTACAGATAAAATCATAGAAATAAACTAAAAAGTTAAATAGATTTATATTGAAATTTGAACATGAATTTATATAAAATTATATAAAAATGTAAAACTTGCAAATAAAGTAGGAGGTAATAATTTAAAAAATTGTTAGAGATATGCAATCAATTCAAAGATATCTTTCGTTATTGCAAACTGAATCTAAGCAGGCCGATGTTTCAATGTGCTCGTTCACAGGCACAGAAAGGTCCTCGGAGCGTTCCAGGTGTACAGAAATGGCGCATTCGAAAGAATATTTGGCGCAATCGGTGGACTGCACCGTTCCACGACCGAGTTCGAAAAATTTTTAGTGGGCGGGGTTCAGAATATAATGAACGAGTCCTGGCAGAGCCACATGAAGATCATGTCGTGTATGATGGACTGGATGAACAAGGTGTTGCAGTTTTACTCTGACAACGGCAGTGGTTTGGGAGAGAAACCGCCAGAGACGAACAAGGTGGCGGAAGAATCGAATGAAAGCGATAATTGGAGCTCGGAATTTTTCGAGAGCGACAAGAGAAGAACTAAAAAAGCATCTCGACATCGTTCCGCAGGTTTGGACAATTCTTATAACCTGCATTTTTCTTCTACTTTATGAAATAATTTCTCGAACAATTGCGGTCGAATCAAATTGATATTTTTGACAAGTTCGATCAGACAATGCAATTCTCTTTCAAACAATTGCACAAATTTAAGCTTTTTTTAGCTATTTACGTGTTTATTTATTAATACTTAAAACCTGTAGGTTTATTTAGCAAATACAGGATTGTTACACGTACATGCGTTCGATATTATTTATTATTAGTTTCTGTATCGTAATATTTCTATTCACAACGACACCAATATTTTCTGCTTGAAATTCTGTGCGTTCGCAAGTATTTTCCGTTAGAGATCAATGGGTATCTTCTTCACAGCAGCTTTGGGAAGAGCGGAAGCCTCGATGGACAATTTCATCGAATCCATGAATCGCGTTAGCAGAGTCCGAAGCACAAACGACACGAGCATGTTGGCTGGTTTAACGAACAATCTTCTGTTAGTTACAATGTTCGTAGAAACGCTCGGCTTTGTTTCCACTTTGTACTGTTTCGAGCATGGAATGAAAAACGAAACCGAGCCCCCGCATTTTGAGGACGACAACCGGCTTACGCGTTGACCGCTGCGCTGCCTTTAGTTCGTACAGGGATTATTCGATTCGATTCCAAAGGATTATGCGCCCTTTGAACCTCGTGAAAACCTGACTAAAGTTGCCCCGATAGTTGTGCAAACTATGAGATTGTACGAAAATTTTACGAAAATTGTTCTCATTATTATCCCAACGCTGCGCTTTGTTGAGAAATAAACAATATTTGATGCGTCGATCAATTTTTCTTTTTCTTTACGTACCTCTAGTCACTGTTACATTCGACAAGTATTATTTATAATATATATTTATATAGTATTATTTACTGGTAATAGTGGATATAAACAGTGTAAGTTAAATTATAAACGAATATGTAATTTTATTACAGATATTTGTCATAAACCATTTATGCATGGAAATAAATGAAAATATATTTCGTTTAAAAGCGGTCTTGCTGAATTCTCTTTATCCCGCATTTGCAAAAAGTATAAAATAACTTTGATCTCACGCGAATATCGTTTCAATCATTCCAGATCGCGTTTTTTAACCCGATGCCCTCGTTAACAAAACGAATCTCTGCAGCGTAACATTTATGATTTCACGAACGCTGCGATGTTTCGCCGTAAATCAATGGCGTCGCGCGTTATGCTTTTTAAAACACCAAGATCGCGCAGATAATAATAGCAATAAATTTGGAAAATGCATCGCAACGCGACGTTTATAGCTCACGAAGATGCAAAGCACTCAGTTTGTCACACAGATTTATTCAACGCGTTCGCACCGGTGCTAAGTATTGCAAAATGCGTGCGGCGCCGGCAATTTCATACTTGTTGTGTAAGTATCATTTTTTGTTTTCGCGTACATAAAGCATGCAAATTGGAAAAAGTGTTCATTCTTTCAACTTTCCCTCTATTTATCTTGTGAAAATAACAGGAGAAACGAGCTTTTCGGTAATTTCGTAGGTTTCGTTGCATTGCTAGGGATAGAACATGTTACGGCAAATGCAAAAGCGAGAATCATCGGTGGCCATCCTGTTGATATCAAACTGAGACCGTTCATGGTGAGTACGATTAGTAAGATCTTTACACAAAATAAAAATATATTTGCTCTTCCAATGATTTTAAGTTGGAGATAATTCCCCGTTTTGTGCGCCGTTTCTTAATTTTTGTCCTAAGTGCATAGAACTGCACTCTGAAGATTAACATTTTTAGCTCTCTTTATACAACTCTGAAGGATTTATATGCGGCGCTAGCATACTCTCCGATAGATGGGGTATAACTGCTCTTCATTGTTTGTAAGTTTTAATATTCTTATAAGATCTCTAAGCGAATGAATTAGTACGGAATTGAATTGATCGAATTAATTGTTCAGGATGTCCGAAAATGCTACGAGCTATTACGTACGAGCCGGATCAAATTTGCACTATTTTGGAGGCACGTTGCATAGGTTAACTAGGATACACGCGTACGACAGAACAGCATTTCTCTACTGGTTTTCCAGCATGTTGCATTACGACATAGCACTTTTCGAAGTGTGGCCATCCTTTCGTTTTTCGAGCAAAGTGAGAGCTGCTGGTTTGCCGAACAAGTTCAGTCGACTGCCTCGGACGCTGTACGTTTGTGGATGGGGCTACAGTGATTTCCAACAAAATGTTAGTAGACCTCGCTGATGAATTTACTTTTTAGAATTAATCTTCTGTACGAAGCAGACGGTACAGTAATTCCACGATTAAAAATTATAGTCACAAGCCTAGAAGTTGAAATTTGAAATATGAAAACTAAATATTGAAACGTAAAATTTGGAATTTGAAATTTGATATTTAAAATTTGGAATATTAGATTTGGAATTACAAGTTTGATAATTAGAATTTGAAAGGAACTTAAAACGAATTTGTAAGGAATTTGACATTTGAAATATGAAAACTAAATATTGAAACGTAAAATTTGGAATTTGAAATTTGATATTTAAAATTTGGAATATTAGATTTGGAATTACAAGTTTGAAAATTAGAATTTGAAAGGAACTTAAAACGAATTTGTAAGGAATTTGAAATTTGAAATATGAAAACTAAATATTGAAACGTAAAATTTGGAATTTGAAATTTGATATTTAAAATTTGGAATATTAGATTTGGAATTACAAGTTTGAAAATTAGAATTTGAAAGGAACTTAAAACGAATTTGTAAGGAATTTGACATTTGAAATATGAAAACTAAATATTGAAACGTAAAATTTGGAATTTGAAATTTGATATTTAAAATTTGGAATATTAGATTTGGAATTATAAGTTTGAAAATTAGAATTTGAAAGGAATTTAAAACGAATTTGTAAGGAATTTGACATTTGAAATATGAAAACTAAATATTGAAACGTAAAATTTGGAATTTGAAATTTGATATTTAAAATTTGGAATATTAGATTTGGAATTATAAGTTTGAAAATTAGAATTTGAAAGGAATTTAAAACGAATTTGTAAGGAATTTGACATTTGAAATATGAAAACTAAATATTGAAACGTAAAATTTGGAATTTGAAATTTGATATTTAAAATTTGGAATATTAGATTTGGAATTACAAGTTTGAAAATTAGAATTTGAAAGGAATTCAAAACGAATTTGTAAGGAATTTGAAATTATCAATTTAATCTTTGAAATTAGAGAAATTGAGAACATTGTTCACAGAATTTCTCGAATGCTAAGCTTCGCATCTCAAATGTTGAACTGACAATAATTTAACCTTGACAATACGTCGATATTTTCCAGGCAAGAATTAACAACGCCCTAATGGGGGTCCACGTTCGACGTATACCGTACGAGGCTTGCGTTAACCAAACAACGGAATACAAAGCACTGGTTGACAAAGAACACCACGTTTGTTACGGTACTCCTGGCAAAGATTCCTGTTTCGGCGACTCAGGGGGCCCTTTGGCTAATAAAAATACAATCTATGGTGTAGTGTCTTTCGGACAAAATTGTGGCACAGTGCCGGGTGTTTACGAAAGTGTTCAATATTATCGTCAGTGGATTAAACGTGTCACAAATTTATGAAACAAAAGTTGAGTCAAAGATCTATTTGCAAAAAGGCTTCGCGTACATCCAAGGAACTTTTCATTGCCTTTACTAAGCAATAAATTCTTCACAACTCTCAAACAAAGTATTTTTTGTGTCATATTGATTTAGATTCTAAATACATTCTTTCTTAGGAGGTACAATTAGGGATGAATAGTTATTACATAAATCGTTTTTAAATTTGTTTGCAAATTGTTCGTATTCATCTTCGAAGAGAATTATTTTGTAAATTGTATTTCTACAGCTTCGAAGAAAACGATTTTCTAAATTGTTCTTCAGCAGCATCAAAAAGAATCATTTTCCAGAAATTGTTTTTCTATAGCTTCGAAGAAAACGATTTTCCAGAAAAGAAAAATATTCTTCAAATTGTCTTTCTGCAGCTTTAAAAACTGCTTACATCTTCGTTGAAGATGATTTTCTATTTTGTCTCATTACAGCCTCGAAAAGAATTATTTTCTAAATTACTTTTCTTGCATCGAGATATTAATTGTCTTTTAGTGTCCTTTTATTATCCTCGAAAAGAATTATTGTGTAAATTACTTTTCTTGTATCGAGATATTAATTGTCTTTTAGTGTCCTTCGATTATCTTCGAAAAGAATTATTGTGTAAATTACTTTTCTTGTATCGAGATACTAATTGTCTTTTAGCGTCCTTTTATTATCCGATAAGTTATTCTTCCATTGTTTCTGGACCGAATAATTTGTCTTCCGCAGTGTTTCGTTCTACGAAAGATGAAAGTAGGAGATGAAAGTTCCAAATGGTATCAATCCGATGATTGGAGAACCGTGTTCCGAAAGGATGCTCGAAAACAATCGCTTCCAGGAAAGAGGCGAAATGCGGACTTGGCGGCGTTCAGGTTCGATGCACGCCGGAAGTCCATTACGCACGTTCTGCGCAAGATCCTGCGGCTCACGTACCGTGTACTTAGGGCTGGATGAAGTTCGTGGCCCTCGAGTAATACGTAATTAGAAACTATTGTGTAGGCGGCTTCGTATTATCGGCACGCATGGCCATCGACCTGAGAATTACTATTTCTGTGCGTCTGCCCACACAGAGTAGCCGCATTTTCATAACAATGTGATTGAAACTCGATTCCCATCTCAATTATACGTCGATAAAACGCATAGTCTGTTTAGGCTACCTGTTATCTAATTTCGAAAAGATTGTAAATTATTTGTTCACTTGTCAAAGATAGGTACCTTTGGTGCAACAACTACTTTCAAAAATACAGAAATGCAAATGAATATTAATTTGGGCTTTCAAATACGTTCTTCTATGAACAATACCTTTTTAAAGTTAATATTATGGTTGCACAAAGTATTAAAACTCGTATTAATCATATGTTCACGTTTTCATGTTATTTCATAAATACGTTTACGCCTTAAAAATCTATCGTTGCGGTCACTATGCAAAAAAATGATATTCTACTAGCTTTTTGCGAAGAAAAGAATTATTGCTATAACAATTAATTATTTATTTACTTATTATCATTACGATTCGTTGAAGCCAGACATTTCTGGACTATTTTGATCTCCAAGAAACAGTTCATTTAAAAAATGGTTGCTTTTGTTGCTTATTATAACGAAATATCTAAATTAGGTACAGTTACATGATCTTGATTTATATGTATATGGGTTGTATCACTGCATAAGTAATGCACATTTCGGGGGAACAGTTCGTTAAAAAAATAATTTATTTCATTTATATAGAAATAATTTATTGCTTATAATGAAGAAATATTGAAATTAGATATATTTTGGCTATTTTGGAACGCGATTATAATCAGTGGGGCATGGATTGCATACATTCATGCACTGCGAAAGCAATGCACATTTCCAAGGAACATAATATTGTATATTATATATTAATATTGTATATTATATATTAATATTAATATATATTTATATTAATACATATTAATATATATATATTTATATCAATATATATTAACACGTTCCGTGCCACGTGTACCATCGATGGTACACGCTTGCATGTTTACTTAGTGAACTGAACAAATTGTTTACAAGAAATTTAGAACCGAAGAATCAATTTCCACCGCAAGAATGGGCGTTGATAAGTTTTTGTTACGTTGTTATGTGTACGAGAATTAATAATTGCACGTAATACATCAAGTTTTAGTAAAATATCAAAGTGTGAAGATTCGAGTAA